CGGTTTCCAGGTGATCTGGAACGTCAGCCATTCGCTGCACACGCCGCTGATGGCGGTGACCAACGCCATCTCGTCGATCATCATAGTCGGGGCATTGCTGCAGGTCGGTTCGGGATCGTTCCTGATCATCCTGCTTGCGGGGCTTTCCATATTCATGGCCGGGATCAACATTTTCGGCGGTTTCCTCGTCACACGGCGCATGCTCGCCATGTTCCAGAAGTCCTAAGGAGCCCGACCCATGGAATTTGGCTTTACAACTGCCGTCTACGTGGTTGCGGCAATCCTGTTCATTCTCTCGCTCGGCGGCCTGTCAGGTGAAGAGAGTGCAAAACGCGCGGTCTGGTACGGTATTACCGGCATGGCGCTCGCCGTCGTTGCAACGCTCATCGGACCCGGTTCCGGTCTCTGGCTGCTGTCGGTGATCCTGATCGCAGGCGGTGGTGTCATCGGCTACTACGTCGCCCAGCGGGTCCAGATGACCGAGATGCCTCAGCTTGTTGCAGCAATGCACTCGCTGGTCGGCATTGCCGCCGTGTTTGTCGGTTTCAACGCCTATATCGAACTCGGCCGCGTTCTGGCCATGGGCGATGAAGAGCGCAAAGCGCTCGAAGGGTTTGCTGCCTTGCTGGCGAAGAAGACTTCTGCGGAACAGTCCATCCTGAAGGTCGAGGTATTCCTCGGCGTCTTCATCGGTGCGGTCACCTTTACCGGCTCGGTCGTGGCCTTCGGCAAGCTGGCCGGCAAGATCACGTCCAAGGCGGAAAAACTGCCCGGCGGACATGCCCTGAATGCCGGTGCGGCGATCCTTTCGTTCATTCTCCTGATCCTGTTCCTGAGCGGTGCCGGTATCTGGACGCTCATCCTGATGACATTGCTGGCGTTCTTCATCGGCTATCACCTGATCATGGGGATCGGCGGCGCGGATATGCCGGTGGTCGTCTCGATGCTGAACAGCTATTCCGGCTGGGCGGCGGCAGCGATCGGCTTCTCGCTCGGCAACGATCTGCTGATCGTCGTTGGCGCGCTTGTCGGTTCATCCGGTGCGATCCTGTCCTACATCATGTGCAAGGCGATGAACCGCTCGTTCATCTCCGTCATTCTCGGCGGCTTCGGCAACACGACCGGACCGGCGATGGAGGTCGAAGGTGAGCAGATCGCCATCGATGCCGACGGTGTTGCAGCTGCCCTTGATGACGCGGACAATGTCATCATCATACCGGGCTACGGCATGGCGGTGGCCCAGGCACAGCAATCGGTCAGCGAACTGACCAAGCGCTTGCGTGCGAAGGGCAAGAACGTGCGGTTTGCGATCCACCCGGTCGCAGGTCGCCTGCCCGGCCACATGAATGTGCTTCTGGCGGAAGCCAAGGTCCCATATGACATCGTTCTGGAAATGGACGAGATCAACGAGGACTTTCCGGAAACCGATGTCGCCATCGTCATCGGTTCCAACGACATCGTCAATCCGGCTGCCCAGGAAGACCCGAACTCGCCGATCGCCGGCATGCCGGTTCTGGAAGTCTGGAAAGCCAAGCAGGTGTTCGTCTCCAAGCGCGGCCAGGGCACCGGTTACTCCGGTATCGAGAACCCACTGTTCTACAAGGAAAACACACGCATGTATTATGGCGACGCAAAACAGTCTCTCGACAAACTGCTCACCATGATCGAGTGATTTCCCAAACTCGACTGTAATAAAGGCCGCTCCGGAACCCCGGAGCGGCTTTTTTTATGGAATGATTGTATTGACTTAGTGTCGCGTTTCGATGGGGGGAAGAAACGCAATGGCTCTTGTGATGCTTGTGCATTTTTTGGCAGGCGATCACAGAGCCATGATCGCGTTCAGTCCCGAACCAGAAGACACACCGCTACCCGGTTTCAATCCTGATTACACAACCGCGTTGAAAATGCCGGTCCTGGCCCAGATCCGCCTGACACACCGATGAGGGCACGCTGCAAAATCTTTTTTTGAACCTTTTTCGATCGCCTGAGCACCAACAAGTACTCGCACTTGGCGAGGTCACCATCGCGGTCCTTTGTTGACGTCTGGCGGCAGACCACTGCGTCAGACCGTCGGGACGATTGGTGATTTTTCAAGACAGGAGATTTGCAATGAGCTTCCTTTATTCTTTCCTGAATTTCTTCAAACCCCAATTCATCAACGGGTCTCATCAGAGTGATTATCTCTTTGGAGGATTTGCCTCCGACTTCATTTTCGGCAATGGCGGTAACGACAGTATCTTTGGTCGCTTCGGAAACGATTTTCTTGATGGCGGAAAAGGCAACGACAAAATCTTCGGCGGCTTCGGAAACGACACGGTGTTCGGTGGGCACGGCAATGACAAGATCGACGGAGGCTTTGGAAACGACATCCTTTTCGGGGGCAAGGGCAACGACAAGATCCTTGGCGGCTTCGGCAAGGACACATTGTTCGGAGGTAGCGGGAACGACAAACTTATTGGAGGCTTCGGCAACGACACACTGAATGGCGGTGACGGTGAAGACACGTTGCGTGGTGGCAAGGGCAATGACCGTCTTGTCGGCAACAAGGGCAACGATCGGATGTTCGGCGGGTCCGGCGACGACCTACTTGTCTGGAACAACGGTGATGGATCCGACCTGATGAATGGCGGCAGCGGCTATGACCGCGTCCAGGTCAACTTCAACACCGATCTCGTCAATGACGATCTTCAGAACAAGGACGTTGCCGAATTCTCCGTGACGCCGAACGGCGTCCAGTTCGCCCGGGTCGAGTTGAACGACCAGAACGTCAACGGCCTGTTCCAGCTGGACATTCGCAAGACTGAAGTACTGGAAACCAATTTCGGCGGCGGTGACGACACTGCGCAGATCGTCGATACCGTTCTGGATGAGATCAAGCTCGACCTGGATGGTGGCGACGGCATTGACACGCTGGACCTCTCCCGGGCAGCCGAAGGCGTCGAGGTCGATCTTGCCGCCGGAACGCTCGAAGGCTCCAGGGCCGTCAACTTTGAAAACGTTATCGGAACCGAATTCGACGACAGGATAACCGGCGACGATCAGGACAATGTCATATCCGGGCTCGGTGGTGTCGACACGATCCATGGCGGAAAAGGCAACGACATCCTTGTTGCCAACAAAGGCAATGATTTCGTCTTCGGCGAAGAAGGCGACGACCTACTTGTCTGGAACAACGGCGATGGGTCCGATCTTATGGACGGTGGTGCAGACTATGACCGCGTCCAGGTCAACTTCAACACCGATCTCGTCAATGACGATCTTCAGAACAAGGACGTTGCCGAATTCTCCGTGACACCGAACGGCGTCCAGTTCGCCCGGGTCGAGTTGAACGACCAGAACGTCAACGGCCTGTTCCAGCTCGACATTCGCAAGACTGAAGTACTGGAAACCAATTTCGGCGGCGGTGACGACACTGCGCAGATTGTCGATACCGTTCTGGATGAGATCAAGCTCGACCTGGATGGCGGCGACGGCATTGACACGCTGGACCTCTCGCGGGCAGCCGAAGGTGTCGAGGTCGATCTTGCCGCCGGAACGCTGGAAGGCTCCAAGGCCGTCAACTTCGAGAATGTCACCGGAACCGACTTCGACGACACGATCACCGGCAACGATCAGGACAATGTCATACGCAGCGGCTCAGGGTTCGATATCATGTCAGGCGGAGAAGGATCCGACACCTTCCTTTTCACCGCCGACGACACGGGTCTGAAGGTCATCACTGACTTCGACTTCGAAGAAGACCGTTTGCTGTTTGTCACGGACGAGGATTTCACCGCGACTGACCTTGTCGATCAGCTGACCCAAATCGGTGATGATGTGCAACTCGACGTGAACGGCAAGCTCATTACGTTCGAAGGCGCGAGCGTCGACGACTTCGGCACAGACGCGTTTCTTTTCGGATAGAGCTGCTCGATCCCTTTGCTTCGTGTCTCGATCCCGCCGGCTGACCAGCCGGCGGGATTTCCACTTGGCGGTGCAACCTCCCGTCGTGCCGAACATCTGACCGGGAGAAGGTTTCCTCCATCCGGCGCTGCATGACGTGAATAAGGGACACTCGCGTGAATTCGAACGGCGACCACCCTCGCCTCGTCTCAGGCCCATGTTGCGCGCTGCACCGACGTGGCGAGAATCAGATTGTACTTTCGCAAAGCACCGCAGTTTGATTGTGACGCGCGTCATAAGCACCGAAGGCGAAACCGGCCATCTTTGGATCAGGTTCCGCGCAGATTTCTGGAACCTCAATTTGAATTCGCACAGGAAACGTCGACGCAACCCTTTGGCCGGGTCTGCGAACGGAACTCTATTGATTGAGGGTTGGCAGCTGACATGAAACGTCTTGAATCACCGCGCAAAAACAGTTTGGATTCCCTGTATCTGGATGACAAGCATCTGTTGGTAGCCGTGACAAATGGCGACCTTGCTGCCTTCGAGACGATCCACCGCAAACATTTTTCCAAGCTCATGAAATTCGCAACGCGGATCACGGGAAACCACGAAGCGGCCGAAGAGGTCATCAACGACACGTTCATGGTTGTTTGGCGAACGGCCTCGCATTTTCAGGGACGTTCAAAAGCAACGACGTGGATGTTCGGGATTGCCTACAGGCTTGCGATAAAGAAAAAACAGAAACTCGGCCGGTTGAAAAACGACATCTGTCTTGATGAATGCGTGATCCGCGACACCGCAAACACGATGGAAACGGTCCTCTTCCGGCGTGATGTTGACGACGCGCTTGGAAAGTTGAAGCCCGAATTACGGGCTGTCGTCGAGTTAACCTACTTCAGCGGGTACATCTACTCCGAAATCGCGGAATTGCTCGGATGTCCGGTTGGGACCGTCAAGACGCGCATGATGACGGCAAGACAGCATTTGCGCAGACTCCTCTCAGAAGAACCGGCACGCATGCCGGCGCTTGCGGCCGCCTGAAGGACAGACATTGCAAAACAGGTGCATTTCACCTTGCTGCCAGCGTAACTGATCCCTGTTTCGCTTGAGGAAGGTTATGCGCCGAGACGCACTCCCGAACCGTCAAAGTAGTAGCTCTTCCCGTCGGAAATCGCGAGGTCGAGTTCCCTGCCCGGCTCGATGGCATGCTGACCGAACAGACGTGCAGTGACCTGTTGTCCGTTGACCCTACCAATCACATTGGTGTCGCCGCCCAGTTGTTCGACATGCTCGACCCTCGCTTTGAGTGGACCATTGTCGGAGAGATAAAGGTCTTCAGGACGAACACCCAGAGTGCGCTCGTCCCCTTCGCTCAAAAGTCCGGCCGGCAGGAAATTCATGGCAGGAGATCCGAGAAAACCAGCAACAAACTGGTTGACCGGATTATTGTAGAGCTCCATCGGACTACCGATCTGTTCGACATGTCCATCTCTCAGCACGACAATCTTGTCGGCAAGTGTCATTGCCTCGGACTGGTCGTGGGTCACATAGATCATGGATGCTTCCAGCTGGCGGTGCAGATTGGCAATCTCCAGTCGCGGGTTCATCCTGAGCGCGGCATCCAGGTTCGAAAGCGGTTCGTCGAACAGGAACAGTTTGGGATGGCGAACAATGGCGCGGCCGATGGCCACCCGTTGCCGCTGCCCTCCAGAAAGCTCGGACGGATAGCGATCCAGGTAATCTTCCAAATTCAGCATGCGCGTCGCCTCAGCGATGCGCTGATCGATGACATCCTTTGTCTGCCGCTCCTGTTTCAGCGCCAGCGACATGTTGTTTCTGACATTCAGATGCGGATACAGGGCGTAGCTCTGGAACACCATAGCGATGCCGCGTTTCGAGGGCGGCGTGAAGTTGACATGCTCTCCGCCGATATGAATATCGCCTGATGACACGTCCTCAAGACCTGCGATGACACGCAACAGGGTCGACTTGCCGCAACCGGATGGCCCGACAAAGACAACAAATTCGCCGTCTTCAACCTCAAGATTGACGTCTTTCAGAACGTGAACGGCACCGAAGGACTTGTTGACGTTGTGCAGAGTGAGCGCTGTCATTGCGTTGGCTCCTTCAAGATGACGGAATTGCCGGTGCGGACGCTGTGATCGGCGGCCAGGCATATGGCCAGCGACCGGACGGCATCCTGCATGTGCCGGGTGAGATCGAGATTTTCGGTGATTGCGCGCAGCATATAGGCCTGCTCCGCGTCGCAGAGTTCCTGGTGACCCGGTTCATCTGGCAGGCTGATGCTGGTGTCGCCGCCCGGACGATGAACCAGCAGACCTCCCACCTTTGTGTGGCCATCCACATCCGCGGAAGCACCCTTGTTGTCTTCCACGATGGAGACGGAGCCGGCGGGAGAAACGACATCTTTCACAAAGAAGGCCGTTTCGGACATCATGGGGCCCCAACCGGCCTCGTACCAGCCGACGGAACCGTCGTCGAAAACACCCTGGAACTGGCCATAATTGTACATATCCGGTGCAATCTCGTCGGAGAGCCGCAGCCCCATGCCGTTGACCTTTACCGGTGTCGCATCGGTGATCTGGCACCAGACGTCCACATAGTGCACCCCGCAATCGACGATGGGAGCAGTGGTCTGCATCAGGGCCTTGTGCGTTTCCCACTCGGAGCCGGAGCTCTGCTGATTGAGGTTCATGCGGAAGACATAAGGGCCGCCGAGTGCACGCGCCTCCTCTATCAACCGGACCCAGGACGGGTGGTGACGAAGTATATAGCCAACAACAAGCTTCTTTCTCGTCTCCCTGGCACATTCAACGACACGCCTGGCATCTTCCACGCTGGTCGCCAACGGCTTTTCGACGAAAACATTTGCGCCCGCATACATGGCCGCGACCGCATAGTCGGCATGAGTGTCCGAATAAGTGGCAATCACCACCAGATCAGGTGACGTTTTTTCCAACGCGATGTCATAACTGGTAAAAACCGGATAACCCGCCAGTTCATCGTGCTCGACGCGGCCCGACCGATTGACCAGCCCGACAATCTGCGACGCATCGTTGCGATGGTGCGCCAAGGCATGAGAAAGGCCCATATTGCCCAGCCCCGCTATCAAAACCCGGATCATTTGACAGCTCCTGACGTGATGCCCCGGATCAACTGGCGTGAGAAGATCACATAGAGTATGAGGACCGGCAAAATGGCCATGCTGAGTGCGGAAAGCACGGCATTCCAATTGGTCACGAACTGCCCGATGAACACCTGGCTGCCAAGCGTCAGCGTCTTGGTTTCCTCTGCGGGTGCCAGGATCAACGGGAACCACAGGTCGTTCCAGATCGGTATCATGTTGAAGACCGCAACGGTTGCCATCGCCGGGCGGACCAGCGGCAGGACGAGACGGAAGAAAATCGTGTACTCCGACAGTCCGTCAATCCGGCCCGCGTTTTTCAGGTCGTCGGAAACCTGCCGCATGAATTCGCTCAATATGAAGACTGCGAGCGGCAGACCCTGCGCCGTGTAAACCAGGATGAGCGCCGTCAACGTGTTGACCAGGCCAGTTACGACCATCATTTCCAGAATTGCAACCGTCCCGATCCGGATCGGGATCATGATCCCGAGCGCCAGGTAGAGCCCAAGCAGAAGGTTGCCCTTGAAACGGTATTCGCTGAGCGCGAACGCTGCCATGGCGCCAAACAGCAGAATGAAGAACAGCGACGCGACCGTGACGATCATCGAGTTCTGGAAATAGAGGAAAAAATCCCCCTGTTTCATCACTGTCTGATAGCCGATCATTGAAAAACTGTCGGCATCTGGCAGGCCCAATGGCTCGCGGAAGATTGCCTTGCGTGTCTTGAAGCTGTTGATCAGGATCACGAAAACCGGGAACAGTGCGATCAGCGTGTAGAGGATCAACGCACCGTGCATGGCGGCAGTGTTGAACGGATTTGTACGTGCCTTGTTCATCTTGCGCCCCTTACAGCTGATACCTGCGCATCCGTGTCTGGATGCCGAAAAGGTAGATGCAGACACCGATCAGAATGATCGCGAACATGGCGCTTGCACTCGCCGAGCCCATGTAAGGATCGCCCAACTGAAGCTGGAAGCCGAAGAAGGTGCGGTACATGAATGTCCCGAGAATGTCGGTTGAGAAATCCGGCCCTGCCAAAGCACCCTGTGCGGTGTAAATCAGGTCAAAAGCATTGAAATTGCCAACGAAAGTGAGGATCGAGATGATGCCGATAGAGGGTAGAATCAGCGGTAGCTTGATTTTCCAGAAAGCCGACATGCCGGTAATGCCGTCAATCTCTCCCGCCTCGAGCACCTCCTCCGGAATGGACAGCAGCGCCGCATAGATCAGCATCATCGGGATTCCGACGAATTGCCAGACCGAGATCAGCGAAAGGGCCGTAAGCGCATACTCCTCCTTGCCGAGCCAGGGAGCGTAGAGCGATTTCAAGCCGACAGCATCCAGCATCGAGGGCGCAATGCCCCAGATCGGTGACAGGATCAGTTTCCAGGCGAAACCGACGATCACGAAGGACAGGATGGTCGGGATGAAAATGGCCGAGCGGTAAAATGCAGCGAAGCGTAACCTCGGATGGCTCAATATGGCGGCCAGAGCAATGCCGATCGGATTCTGGACCAGCATATGGACCAGGAAGAACCAGAAATTGTTTCCCAGAGCATTCCAGAACTGATCTGACCAGATCGGGTCGCCGAACAATGTCGTAAAATTCTGCAGTCCGACAAATACCCGCTCCTGATCGATCTTGCTGTAGAGGGCAAGCCGCAACGTGTTGAAAAGCGGAAATATCATGACTGCCGTGTATACAATGACCGCCGGGGTCAGGAACACGACGACGTGCCAACGTATGCGAGGCTTGCTCATCAGAAGCTCCGGTCAATGGGTCCCGAACCAGGCGCACCTTGTTCGGGAATATGTTTTGAAGGCAGATTACTTGTGCGGCTCGTACCAGGTGGCCAGGCCGTCCTGCAGTTTCTTGCCGAGCGCTTCGGGAGTTTCCGCACCCTTTATGGCTGCAACAGAGGCGCCCCAGGTCTCGTTTTCCAGGTTCGGCGTTCCGCGCGACAGGATCTGATATGTGGATCGGATCGTGCTTTCACACTCTTCGCGCCAGCCGACGAATTCCTTGGCAAGGGGATCTTCAAGCTCAACCGGAGTTTTCGAGAGCGGGAAGAAGCCCGGAAGCGCATTGCCGAAAATCGACGCAAATTCCGGCGAAGCGACCCATGCCAGGAAGGTCTTGGCGGCTTCCGGATGCTCTGTCGCAGCGTTCATGCCAATGCCGATATCCGTGTGATCGGAAATGTAGCACGTGTCGCCCGCGCTCTGGACCGGCGCTTTGAAGGCGCCCATTTCAAAATCTGCATGCGCGTTAAAGCCGGAGATCTCCCAGCTGCCCGCCGGGTAGACCGCCGCACGGCCAAGCGTGAAGAGGTTCTGGCTATCCGGATAGGTCTGCGCCTCATAGCCGTCACCGAGATACGGGCCCCATTTCGCCAACGTCTCGTAGGGTGCCACCCATTGCGGGTCGGTAAGTTTCTGTTCACCCTTGATCAGGGCGTTACGACCTTCCTCACCCTTCCAGTAGTTCGGACCAATGTTGTTGTAGCCCATGGTGGCGGCTTCCCACTGGTCGTTGGTTCCCATCGCCATCGGAATGTAGTTGCCGTCTTCCTTGATCTTTTCAAGAACGGCAAAGAACTCTTCTTCGGTCGCGGGCACGGAAAGGCCAAGTTCGTTGAATGCATCCTTGTTGTAGATGAAGCCGTGAATCACGGATGCCATCGGAACACAGAAACTGGCCGATCCATCATCGCTCTGCCATGCAGACTTGGCGACGTCGGAAAAGTTGCTCATCGCCTCCATGTCAGCGAGGTCAACCAGGTGACCGGCGTCAAAAAGTGCAAGTGAGGCATCGAATGGGCGGCAGGTAATCAGGTCGCCGGCGGAACCAGCATCCAGCTTGGAATTCAGGACGGCATTATATTCTGTGGGAGCAGAAGGCGTGAACTTCACCTTGATACCCGGATGAGACGCTTCAAAGGCCGGAATGATTTTTTCCTGCCAGAGGGTCAGGTCGTCGTTCCGCCAGCTTTCGATCGTCAACGTGACGTCTTCCGCATAGGCACTGCTTGTAATCAGAGCTGTGCTGACCATTGCCAAGGATAAAAACTTACGTGTCATTGCGCTGTTCCCTGTTTTCACTCGGTTTGTGTCGTTGTTCATTTAATACAGCCTGACGAGGCGCGTCCCCATGCTGAATGACTGCGCGCCAACAAACGCCCTGACC